GCTAACTATTGTTCCATTTATTGAAGGGAAGACTTGTGTTTGTGAAAAAGAATAAGTGATTACTAACAGGAAGTGAATTTATTTTATTATTTACTTTGAGGAGGGAGGTGGTTTAAGTTTTTGGCTTTAAAATGTTGGTGTTTGCTTTGCTAATTGTAATTGATCAGATTGAGGGAGAAGAAGCTCAGCGTGTGGCCAGACATCGTCTTGAAAGGGAACGAGGCAGGAGAGAAGCGACTGAGGATATGTCAGAAGACTTGTCTGAGGGAGAGAAAGGAGACACGGTTGGTGACATTTCAGCTCATGGTGGTGATAGCACTAGAGGAGGAAGAATGAAAAGAATCAATTCTACTGATGCAGTGGAGAACTGGACTAGTCAACAAAAAGAACAGAAATTCTACATGGTGTTAATAAGGCATGAGCAGAACTTTTTTATGCATTTAAACTTTTAAACGTTGATTTCATCAACAAGAATTCTTCATGCAGCCTTCATGGCCTGATCCGTGGCGAGAACATGGAGCTTGGTCGTGATTCTGATACTGGTGGCCAGGTAACTTTTGGGAATATAAATTGTTATTTACAATATTGATCTTGACGTGGATTCAGTCGACGACTTTTGAAATCATTTATAAACTGGAATTAAAAAGCTTCCTTATTACTTGCTTTGGAGTATAAAGGTTTTCATCATTATCAGGTCAAGTACGTAGTAGAACTTGCCAGGGCCTTAGGTTCAATGCCTGGAGTTTATCGGGTTGATTTGCTAACAAGACAAGTGGCAGCTCCAGATGTGGATTGGAGTTATGGGGAACCAACTGAAATGCTGAATCCATTAAACACTGAGAATTCAAAGGAGGAGCTTGGGGAGAGTAGTGGAGCTTATATAGTCCGGATACCATTTGGCCCAAGAGATAAATATGTTCCAAAAGAACTCCTTTGGCCTCACATACCTGAGTTTGTTGATGGTGCACTTACCCACATTCTACAGATGTCTAAAGCTCTGGGAGAGCAAATTGGAGGTGGGCAACCAGTTTGGCCCGTCGCAATTCATGGACATTATGCAGATGCAGGTGATTCTGCTGCTCTTTTATCTGGTGCCTTGAATGTCCCAATGGTATTTACTGGTCACTCACTTGGACGAGATAAGCTTGAACAACTTTTGAAACAAGGACGTCAATCAAGAGAAGAAATAAATACAACGTACAAAATAATGAGACGGATAGAAGCAGAGGAGTTAACCCTAGATGCCTCTGAGATTGTTATCACAAGCACTAGACAGGAGATAGACTCACAATGGCGCTTGTATGATGGCTTTGATCCAATACTAGAACGCAAACTAAGAGCAAGAATCAAAAGGGGTGTAAGCTGTCACGGCAGGTTTATGCCTCGCATGGTTGTAAGTATCTCATATTTTTCTCTTCATAGTATTTTTATCAAAATTTTGGCCTTTTTTCTCTAAAAGGACAAATATTAAGTGATAGAAATGTTATTCTTACTAACTATCAGTTCCCCCCTGTTTTGGTTAGGTAATACCTCCAGGAATGGAGTTTCATCATATTATTCCACATGATGGTGACGGGGATGGTGAAGGGGAAAGACATGATGATAGTTCTACTTCTCCTGACCCGCCAATTTGGTCGGAGGTTATAACTTTTCTTTCTTCTCATATCCTCCTTGCTTGGATTTTAATTTATGATGCTCCTTTTCTGTATGGTTGTTCATAACAAATAATCGATTGAGATACTTGTTTTTCTTGCAGTATATATTTGGTTATAATGTTAAAACTAATGATTTTGTATTGGCAGATCATGCGTTTCTTTACGAATCCACGGAAGCCTATGATACTTGCCCTTGCCAGGGCAGACCCTAAAAAGAATATTACGACCTTAGTCAAAGCATTTGGAGAGTGTCGTCCACTGAGGGAACTTGCAAACCTTGTATGTTCAAATTCCTTAACTGCACCTTCTTACCGGTTATTAGTCTGCTGACAGCAAGTATATCTGTACATGAGGCTTCCTTTGTTCACGTTTTGTAAATAAAAAATTGTGCTTTATATATGTGTTATTCAGATACTTATACATTCTGTCATTACAGACATTGATAATGGGAAACCGTGATGACATTGATGAAATGTCCAGCACAAATGCATCTGTGCTTCTTTCCATTCTTAAGCTGATTGACAGATACGATCTTTACGGTCATGTGGCATATCCGAAACACCACAAGCAGTCTGATGTTCCTGACATTTATCGTCTGGCAGCAAAGACAAAGGTACTTTTATCTTTTATTAGCAGTATTACAACTAGATTAACCACCTAAAAAGTGCATGCAGTTTGCTTGTAGGTATATAATTTTTCCTGAGGTTCTGGATGTTTATGCAGAGTCAGGTTTACAGTTGTACTAAATTTGGCTAGGCATGCTTCTAGAGATCACTTCTTTGAGTTATAAACTTATAAATTATAATGAGTTTTTGTTGTATGGCGTAAATGTCACAGGATAAGAACTTTGCAGTTTCAATAATTTTACATGATATTCAGTTGTTATACCAAGAAAGTTATATGGCTCAGTTAACAGTGATGTTGTTGATTTCTTGGCAGGGTGTTTTCATCAATCCAGCTTTCATTGAGCCATTTGGACTTACTTTAATTGAGGTACATGTCTCTACATTATCAAAGGAATACATTTCAGATGTTAATTTATATAAAACCCAACAGAAGATTCTTTGTTGAATAGGCAGCAGCTCACGGCTTACCTATTGTTGCCACACAAAATGGGGGTCCTGTTGATATTCATCGGGTATGTCTACCTGGAAAACATTCCTATTCCATTTAAAGATTTTCTATTTTGCTTTTGGAGCTGTGTTGAGTTAAGTTATCGATACTTTTATCAATACTAATTACCGAGTTTGGACAACTGAATTGTGACAGGTTCTTGACAATGGTCTACTAGTTGACCCCCATGATCAGCAGTCAATAGCGGATGCCCTTCTGAAGCTTGTTTCGGACAAGCAACTTTGGGCAAGATGCAGGCAGAATGGACTGAAAAACATTCACCTTTTCTCATGGCCAGAGCATTGTAAGACATACTTAACTCGCATAACCAGTTGCAAACCAAGGCAGCCACAGTGGCAAAGAAATGAAGCTGACTTTGACAATTCACAACACGATTCACCTAGTGATTCTTTGAGGGATATACAAGATATATCTTTGAACTTGAAACTCTCACTGGATGGCGACAAAACTGAAGGGAGTGCTGCTCTTGATAATGCTTTAGAGACTGAAGACCGTGCTGCTGGAGGGAAGATTAAGGAGCAAAATGCGGTTTTGACATTGTCAAAAGGTGTTTGTGAAAAGGCTGGTTCGACAGAGAAAGCAGACAACAGTTCTGGGGCTGGTAAATTTCCAGCATTCAGGAAAAGGAAGTATGTTTATGTAATTGCTGTGGATTGTGATACAACCTCAGAGTTTACTGAGATCATTGAGAAGGTTACTGAGGCAGCAGAGAAGAAAAAAGATGCAGGACCTATCGGATTTATACTATCAACAGCATTGGGCATATCTGAGATACATACTCTTTTGGTCTCAGGAGGTTTGAGTCCTTCACAGTTTGATGCTTTTATCTGTAACAGCGGTGCTGAGCTCTACTATCCATCTTCAAGTTCTGAGGATAGTCCTTCTGGGCTTCCCTTTGTGGTGGACTTAGATTACCGTTCACACATTGAATACCGCTGGGGAGCAGAAGGTTTGAGAAAGACGTTGGTTCGTTGGGTTGCTAATTTCAACGAAAAGAAAGGAAGCGAAACTGTTACAGAAGATGTATCAGCGTCAACTAACCATTGCTATGCGTATAAAGTGAAAGATCCAGCACTGGTAATATCTCTTGTGTGTGTCTCTGTTACGGATTCATTTTTATACTTTTTTGGTATTTAGTGTTGCAAATTGCATATGACTACATTAATACTTTTGGAGGTCACTGCTTGAGAAGAACTGCTTTATTTTTGGCGTTTTTGACGTCGCTTATGTCATGACAGATTCCCCCTGTTACGGAACTCCGGAGACTCATGAGAATTCAGGCTCTCCGTTGCCACGTTATATATTCCCAAAATGGCACCAGGCTAAATGTTATCCCTGTGTTGGCTTCTAGATCACAAGCTCTCAGGTATATAAATGCATCCCTAAGAACCCGTGAGATCCTATTTTTCTTTTGTTTTGTACACTGCCAAGTCTTTTTAAGGATTAAATAACATCTATAGTGTCTTCGTCTTCTTCGTATAACTGACATTTAGTCTCCAGGTACCTGTATGTCCGTTGGGGCTTGAACTTGTCAACTGCTGTTGTCTTCGTGGGAGAAAGTGGTGACACGGATTATGAAGGCTTGCTTGGTGGGCTACACAAAACTGTGATACTGAAGGGGGATAACAGTGGCGCTCGTAAGCTTCATGCCAACAGAAACTATCCTTTAGAACATGTCTTTCCAGACGACAGTCCCAATATGGCTCAAAGTGAAGGATGCTCCCAAAATGACATAAGAGCATCATTGGTGAAACTAGGGGTTCTTAAGCGGTAGAAAACCCCGAATCATGCACTCTTGTGTTCGATTCCATATTCTCTATACCTTTCCTTTTTGAACTGCAAATCACACATCCCTCTAAAATTCTTATCGATATTACTTGTATTGTCGTTAGCATTTTTACTCTAGCAATTCGGATGCCGGTTTTCAGCGCAAACCCTCCTCTGCTACAATGTGAACCGCTTATACAATTTTCTAGTTTTGTTCAACATCAGAGGAAGTTGTGCTGTTATCTGGTTTTGTTAAGCATATATAACCATGTTGATGTTGGATTTTCTTGGTTACTAAAATGTTTGTGTGTAGACGTCTGCATATCTTTTGAATAAATTGTTAACCAAGCTTGAACATATACAGAAGAAGAAGATAGCAGACTTAGAGAGGGGGAGACAGTGAGAGAGAGAATACTTGGAGAAGAAGTAATCTGTTTGTTTTGATTCTTTTTCATTAACTGTTTACATCATCCTTATAGTATATATACAACTAATGTTGCTTACACTATAAGCTAACTGTTTAACAAACTACTAACTACTTGTCCAATCTTATGACACTTGTCAAGAGTATAGCCCTTAGATTGATTACTCCTTACATAAATGTTCCCACAATTCATATCTTATTGGTTTCTTTGCACCAGAGATTTCATGTTGGCTTGACGGTATTTTAAATCAATTCCTGCATAGCACTACATGATTTTATAAATACGTGATTGACTTGAAATAGCATGGTACTGTAACTGCATATGAGTTTTCTCATCATGAATGCCTAGTGTGCAGAGCAATTCAGCCATTTGATTATTCTAGTACAGGCTCTATTTTTAGGCTTGGGCCAGCAAACTAGGTTTCCTTTTGGTCCCTAATCCCTATTGATCTAGTCGAGTTCGTTGCAGACATGGCCACGCGGTTTGGCTGTTTGCATGGGCATGTCTAGGATTTCCATCACTCCATTCTTTGACATTGCTTTAAAAAAGATAATAATTGTTCAAAATCTCAATAAAGATAAAAATCGATGTATTTAGAACAAAATCAAATAATTTTTTTTTTTCAAACGATATATTTTGTTATATTAGCTAATGATGAGTTGAATCAAAATCATCATGTACGAGTTAAACTCTTTTCCACCACTATAGTAAAATGTCACTTGCCAGTCACATAATATTATTCTTTCACCTAAACCATAACATGCGTATTTGTTTTTTTATATAATGATATATTGACACTATGAAGTATGAAAAATACATTAATATCGAACTCGTTATTTACGATATTCGAACTCTAATACACATTATAAAATGAAACATATCAATCCCGTCAACCACTAATATTATAATGTATACAGAAACATATATTAAAAAGGGAATCATTCTTCTATTAATAATAATCCCAAGTTGAGAAAAAATATGAGGAAAAAATCATATTAATTATCCTACATGTGAAACCAAACTAATTACCAAGACTTCAGTCATTGCCTATAGGACTCACAGTCTTTCACTCAACTTCCACTTCTTCTTTCTTCTCCTCCTCATTCCACCATTGCTATCCTACCAAAACCTAATGACTTAACTCAAAATTTCCTTCTCTTTCTCATTTTCTTTCAAAAGAGAACATTATTTAAAGGCGGGCAGTGTGTGCGGCCAGATTGTTTGCCCATGGCTGGCTCTGGTTACAACAGCACTTGTTTGCTATACCCTTCTCTTTTTCTCATCATTTTCTTCTCTTTCATGAACCACCATTTCCACTATTTCCCAATTCCTCACAACTCCACACTTTCAAACCACAAACGAGTCTCCGGCAAGTACTGCAACAACGATCTCCAAAATGCCAGCAGAAATAGTACTGCTCTTGATCATGGGCCTACTGTAAGTTGGACAACCTATATATATATATATATATTCAGAAAGCTAGCCAGTGATCACATTCCTTGTGTGTGTGTCTGTCGGTTTTTCTCTAATGCGGGATAAATCTTCCGATATGTAAGTAGCAGGTCGATCGCTGTGTGATTCTGCTCATTCTGCAATTATCCAGCAAGATATTTATATGCATTGAGAGAATTTCTGAAACATATATATATATGTATGATTCTACTCCATTGGTCTCATCACATAGAGACCAAAAAAAAAGATCTACAGAAAGTATATAAGATCAATATACATTGATAATTTTGTTTTTCACTTAGAAAATGTAGTGATATCGTTTATATGACATGGTTCTAGTCTTTGTTGAGTCTCTTGGCCAAAAAATGAAAGGAAAAAAATAAAGAAAAATGGTGGGTTTTACAATTTTGTTTTGTGTATACATACAGATGCAAGTGAAGAAGAACCAGTTTGAGAAAATAGAAGATGGGATGGCAAGAGCAAGAGCCGCGATACGAGAAGCTGCTCGATCAAGAAGCTATACGTCATACAAAAACGAGGATTTTGTTCCAAGAGGATCGGTTTACATCAACCCTTATTCCTTTCATCAGTTAAGATTTTCTCCTTCTCTTTTGTTAGACTTGGTCTTTGGGTTTAACCACTTTGGGTAAAATTCATCCAAGATTCTTAGTCAAACCGGAGCAAATAGCCTCCTAATCAGTCGCTATAAAAATGCTTCATTTGTTTTTTCCCCCTAAAATGTTCCACTAGCCAAGGAGCTACGGAAAATTGAACGAAACCCCTAAGTAAGAATCCACTAGCAATCTGAAAATCCATTAGCAATTGAGAAAATTTCTCAGTTTGATGTTTGAATGATAATAAAATAAAAAACCTTGCACCATGAAGTTAAGGATGTTTTTATAATGTATCACAACTCTACTTGCTAGGAAACCTAACTCAACTCGGAAATAACAAAATACCAAAAGTATCCTTGAATCTTTGAATGTTGGCAGGTATAGTAAACGAAGAATTCAATTGGCCAAAAATGCCCATATGTCACGGCTATGTGGTGAGTTCAACTTGTAATACCGTTCTCTCTGAAGCGATTGGTCACATGCCTAACTCAGTCACTTGAGCCTATAAATTGCAATGCATGAGCCTTGCCCTCGGTTTTATACATATTAGTTGTTCCTTTGATCCGTTAACCATCTGTTCTAAATTCAGAAACATTAAGCTGGTTCCCAATTAATTCATAAAATTTGAAAATACCCATTCTGTTTTTTGGAGCATGATGACCTGGGTAGGGCTTATGAATTACAGATGCACCGGTCACTTGGTAAAATTTGGAGTTTGTCTATAAATTAAGAGGCTAAAAAAGTAAGATGAGAGTTGATCATTTTCGGGTTTTCCCTAGGTGTGCCATTGTTAGGGTGTGCAAGAACATAGCATGGGTGTTGTAGTGGTGCACCATAGGCATTAACTGAATGAGCTTTGCCTCTTTTGTGCTTACACAGTTCTGGCTCAATTTCTCACAGACTGAAATCTTGCCCTAATTTGTGTAAGGAATAAATGTTTTGGATTTACAAATGTTGTACTTAGATGTGGACTTAGGAGCTGCAATTTTCATCTGTCACAACCTTAAATTCTTCGGCCTAGTTCTGATCGACTTTGTACTCTATAGGATTCTGATTTACAGAGGTCCCCAATTCTGCTAGGCCTTTAAGAATAGGCTTTTGCAATGCATGCCTGCATGTGACATTGCATGCAGAAACATAAGCATGCATAATTTGCAGTTGCAGACTCTCCATGGATTCTAGGGTGGGCACCAAAGTGGCAAAATGCTTTTCTAAATTTGCCTTGTTTTCAAATTGTTAATTACTTAGTAGGTCGATCCTTCTTCAAGGATATATAGTTGGCATTACATTCTGAAATTCCAAAGAATAATCGAACCACTTTTTAAACTTATATGTTAATTAACATAATTTTTTTCTTTCTATAATGTGGTTAACCACAATTTTTTTTTAAATGTGGGCACGTCATTGATATTTTTGACACCAAACACTTGTTGATATGTCACCAATAAACTTGATTGCATGTGCAGTTCACTTCAAGTTACCGCACTGTAGAATGATTGAAATTATAAATTTGTACAATTGATTCAAATCCATGCGTGTACATTCACAATTACGAACAAGGTGTTGGCAGACTGGCAACAATATTGGTCATTTGTAAAGTTTATTGAAATTCAAGCAGTAAACTAACTACATCGGTTTTGCACTTAGAATTTGAGTTTAAAATCTAGGATCTTGGGCGTAGCCAAAAACCCTAAGCACCAAATGGTGATCTTACACCATAAGGTAATCAATTTTGTTAAATGGGATTAGAAATGATATAATTCACCACATATACGGACAAGCGTAGGGATTGTATGTGCAATATTGAAGCTTTTTTCGAATTGATGCGTACAGTTTTTCTTGCAGTTATACTAGGTGCTACATATAGTGTACTGTTTATTATTTGCTTAGACTCTTAAGCATATATCATCAATTAATATCTATAAATTGATTCGTTATCGTTTTGTATGTATGATATGATCTTTTAGGAGCCACATAGAGATGGAGAAAAGATTTCGAATTTGGTCGTACAAGGAAGGAGAGCCACCACTCTTCCACCAAGGGCCGATGAACGACATTTACTCCATTGAAGGCCAATTCATGGATGAAGTTGAGTTGAGTGGGAATAGCCCGTTTGTGGCGAAAGACCCTGATGAGGCCATCGCGTTTTTTCTTCCCATCAGTGTTGTCAACATTGTGAGATACGTCTACAGGCCTTACACCAGCTACTCTCGTGTCCGGCTCCAGAACATTGTCGAGGACTACATCAGAATCATATCGAAGAAATATCCACACTGGAATAGAAGCAATGGAGCTGACCATTTTCTGGTCTCTTGTCATGATTGGGTATGCCACTCTTTCTTTCCACCTTTTCAGTTTGATTTTATAGTGATACCACCAAAACTTTAATTGTGATTCAGATTTCATCTCATATCTCTTAACCCTAATCAATAAAACTATTTGCACCATATTTACTGATGATTGCATCTACCCAAAAGGAAAAACTCAATTATGTACGTGAGTTTCACATGATTCTTGTATGTGTACCGCCGTGATTAATGATCAGTAAATTTGGAAAATATAATATCACTCAAACGTGAATACTAACACATTTGAACTTGAAGACTTTATTAGTTAACGATACTCATAATTCGATTGCAATTTCAGGCACCTGATATTTCGGCTGGACACCCTAAAATTTTGAAGAACTTAATTAGAGTACTCTGCAATGCGAATTGTTCAGAAGGTTTCCAACCAGTCCGAGATGTCCCCCTCCCCGAAATCAAAATCCCGTTTGGAAAGTTAGGCTCTCCCCTCCTTACCCATCCCCCTAAGAACCGTTCAATCTTTGCTTTCTTTGCCGGCGGTGATCATGGAGACGTAAGAAAGATACTATTCAAGCACTGGAAAAACAAAGACAAGGAAATCCAAGTCCATGACTACCTCCCCAAAACCTTAAACTACACACATATAATGGCGCAGACCAAGTTTTGCATGTGCCCTAGCGGGTATGAAGTTGCAAGCCCTAGAGTGGTTGAGGCCATATATGCAGGCTGTGTCCCAGTGATCATTTCTGATTCCTATGCGTTGCCGTTCAGTGATGTGCTTGATTGGTCTAAGTTTTCGGTTCATGTTCCGGTGGCAAGGATACCAGAGCTGAAGGAAATTTTGCAATCAGTTTCTGAGCATGAATATGTGAGAAAGCAAAAGAGGGTCATGCAAGTGCAGCGCCATTTTGTGATCAATAGACCTGCTAAGCCATTTGATATGTTGCATATGGTGATGCATTCAGTGTGGCTTCGGAGGCTTAATCTGAGGCTGTTGAAGTGATGCCAATTAAGTGGGGGGGTTTTGTACAATTATGCTAGAATTTGTACAATTGTGTTTTTGAGTAAATAAATTTTGTACCATCTCGCAAACAACTGCGCTGCATTAGTTATTTAAATTTTTTTTTAGAGAATATTAGTTATTTAATTAGCAACGTGGAAAAACAAGAAATATTGATCGCAAAATTTGTTATAGGCAACCAACAATTTTTGCGGAAAATTGAAAAGTTATTGCAACACCGTACGTGCATTTGTACGTTTTAGGTCATGTACCTTCAATTGATTACCATACTTTCGATGATTATATTTCACTATGGGCTCTCATATTTTGTAGGTAAGTGTGAACTAGATATAAGTTTAATCTCGTCGAAGTTAAAAGTTATAAAATTATATATTTGACTTGAAATTTGTTGGTGAAGGTTGTACTAACTCTAATACATTATGGAAGGATTGAATAAATGAGCATTTTTTTTTTCTTTCCCCCACGTAAGGCCTTCATCATAAGGTTAGACTTTAGAAAAAAAAACTTAGTACTTTAGAAATTCAATGACTTAATTTGTAATGAATAAAAGGCACCAAAAACAAAAAAACTTGTATGAAATATGGCCCAAACGGAAAACCCAGGACCCAATCCTATTATCAAGCTATCTGTAAACAATGAGGAATCCTATTCAATTAGGTTGTCCCTCAACAAAAAGGAATCCCAGACTCTTTCCTTTTGCTCTTGTCCTTTGTATCAAGAGATCAGAGTTCTCTAACTGAAACGTTATACTACAAAGTTTCTTGCCTTTTCGTCAGCCTTCAGCCATATACTATGTCCTCTGGAAACTACGCACCGGAGAAACGACCCACACTAATAGAATGGCTACTCCTCTCTCTCTTCGCCGTCTTCATATGTTTTATAATCTTGACCATACCCCTTGAATTTTTAGCTTCGGTGGAAAATCCCAAATATAGCGTCTCTGACCGAGTTCAACTACACAACTGCCACCAACAACACTCTGTACTACAACCTTAACCTCGGCATCACAATCAGAAACCCTGACAAACGGGCTACGTAGACTACCTTGGCATCCAAGTAATTAACTGCACACTACCAAGAGACGACATTTTATGTTTTGACTTTGAGCAGCTCGATAGTACCGTTTCATCAGGGCCACAAGAACACCACCATCTGTTTGGGCCCAAAATAGCTTAGTTTATAGTCGTTCTTGGTCCAGTAACATTCATCTAAAATCTTGACATGGGCTGTCTAGTTAGGGTTGGTCGAATCCTATTACGAAGAGGATTGGTTTAGATAAGGGTGAGGTAGTCGAACCCTAGTGCAACAAGAAGTCTTAAAGTTACGGATGCTTAGAATTAGAGCAACTCCAATGTTGCAAAGGCCCCCTAGGGTTATTCACTATTGAATCCACCCAGTGAATAGTAACTGCCCTTACTGAACAGTAACTATCTTTTGCATCTCTACCCCTACACTGAATAGCCCTAGCAATAGGCAACAAAATATTAGTATTTTTTTTAATAAAATAATCAATCTTTCACCAATTCTTACATTAATTCAAATGGGAAGTGTGAAAGTTTCAAGTTTTAACATTAATCTATCAAGTCAACCAAGAAAAACTCGTTAGTCTTAATTTTCAGAAAAAAAAAAAAATCAGAAAGGCAACAATCCCAACAAATAAAATAGCAAAAGGGTTCATCGAGCTGATTGATTTCGCTTCAAGGGTTTGTCGAATTTGATCTGCTTTCCGCATGATCTAGCTATTTTCTCAGCTGGGTCGTCATTTTTTCCTCTAAATTCTGTTGGGTTTTTGTAAAGTTTGGAAATTTCAGGGATTTTGGTGGGTTGTGTCGATGGCGGATAGAGGCGGTTCTGGGTGGTTCTGCAGGGGTGGGAAGATGGTGGGTTTGGGTGTTTGATGGTATTTGGATTTGATTGTTTTAGGGTTTGTGAGAAATGGGTTTGAAAGCTGAGGATGGTAAAATGGAGGCCTGGGACATCTGCAAATCAAAGGTGAGGAGGAAGAAGAAGCAGAAAGCTAATAGGGATGAGCTAACGTCACCCTGACATCATCCTTGCATAATACCCACTCTGGGTTCTCGGGCCAGCGATTCCCACGGGCCCCATCGGGCTCAATCGCCAGCTTGGGCTGGACCTTTTTGCTCGGGCGTTTTGGCATTGTTTGATAGCCAGTTTATCGGGCTATCAGCTCCGGTGGAGCTGCTCTTAGAGGATGAATCTGGTTTGTTAAGGAGCTTGGTTCAAAGTCTTATAGGGGTTAGGATTGGCCGAAACCTGATCAAATTGGGTTGGGGAGTTCTAATCCAAGTAAATTTCTAGCTCGACCATAAGGGGGCTTCGCTGCTATAAATAGTGAGGGGAGTGCATCATTCAGGGTCTCTTGAAATCAATACATAAATTGCCTTACATAAAGCTTCTCAACAACCTTGAGATTTTTTTCTTCTTCCCTTTCTTTTTGCCAACACATCTTCAGTTTGGATAAACAACACTGTGAAGGTAACCGGTGACATCTTCAGTTTGGATAGACAGCACTAGAGCCGTAGAATTAGTCGACTAAGGAGCTCTTTCAGTTTGGATAGACATCACTGCTTCGAGATCGAATGGTTATTTATCCAAGTCTAGGTCAACAAGATTTTCGAGTCTTTGTTGGTAGAAGTCATCTCATCAGCCTTCTCGACGAAGTGAGGTGTTACCAGCTTAGTAGGCTCGGCACATTGAAAGTTGAGTTTTATTTTATGATTGGATATTCGCAAGTATATTTAGAGTTCAGCATTCTGATAGCCGAACCACATTTACAATCAAGACATTTATCTCTTTTAAGTATTTGTGTCTGTACAGTCTGGTACCAGTTCAGCGTACTTATACTCTCATGAATATAATTACCGAGATTGTACCCGGCATCAGACGATTTGTGACTTCAGGCTCTAGAACCGAAGGCAGAGACGTGTTCCTTCCTCGGCCGCAGTCGTGAGATCAAGAAGTTAGCAGTGCGCTCAACGCCACATCAACATAGTTACTCCCTGGCCGACGAGTTGGCACGCCCTACACACAACCGAATGATGCACGTAGGCTTGGTATTTTTTAAAGTCAACACCATCTTACAGAATATAGTCATTCGGGGGCAGCAATATTTTGTAGGGTTTGGGGAACGTGATCGACTTTCCAAGTTTAAATTCGAGACTGCTGCCGACGTGTTTAGTATTCACTTGCAGCTTGCTATTCAGGCCAAATTATTTAAGTTCTTCCTTGGTGAGAGACCTTACACTACAAATTTGGACTGCAGGTTAATGGTTCCTTTGATGACAGGATCTTTTTCAATGCGAACATCTGTTGGTCGTGGTAATTTCAATGCTACAAAATGCTTCGATTCGTCCTTTTGATAGCCCTTACAAATGTAATTTTTATTCTATTTCTTCTTGTGTAAATTTTTTGTGGATAAAGAGAGTTTTATTTTCTGATGCATGGATGATCAGGGTTTTCTCATATATTGTGGGGTAATGTTATTATTACCATATTATTATGTATAGACTGTCTTTGAGATTTCAGGGCCTCTTTTGAAAAATTTATAAAGGGGCCCTTCTTAAGATTGTCTTCCAAAATATTTTTACAATATATTGATGCTAGAAATCAATAACTAAAACTGAAACAAACTTTAAAACTCACGCTAATTATCACTTCTAAATATTATTATCTCTACTAATTAATAAAACACAATTTTGTTTAGAGACCCCTTAAATTTTAGACCCTGTTCGGCCGATCGCTCCCCACCAAAATCGTCTCGGATTATGCCATGACTTTTATACCACACTTATTCTTTCACACTCCATTCTCCACGCCATCTCCTTTCTCCTCCCATTCACACACAATCTCCTCCTTCATTCCACTATTTTTTTTTTGAAATTTTATTTGGTTTCTAGTTGACAATATTTTTTCCCTTCACTGTTATAAAATGAAAGTTCTAGGAAGGTAATCATACATAATGTATGTATGATGAAATAATATTTGAAATCAACCAAGTAAAAAAATCACAAGACACATTTTAATTGATTTTAAATTAAAGTGCATGAAAAGTCAGTAAGTAAAAAAATAAAAATTTCTCAATAAAACACAAGAATAACAAGCTGATTTTTTTTTAAGATAAAAAATGGCTCTTTTCACTCAGGGTTGCTAAAAATGTTTGCTCTCAAATGATGTTTGATGCAGCAAAAACAACCAAAACCCTTATCCAATTCATACCATATTTTTGTACCACATTTTCATACCACCTTAGGTGGCATTTGAATTAATCAGATTTTTAATTAGGTTCATTATTTAATAAACTAATAATTAAGAAAAACTAGTTAATTAAATGATGATTGTGGTATACGAGGAGTATTTCTCCTTCCTTTTCCTGGGTTTTGCAAATTTGTCAAATGATGTGGTTGTCCATATCAAATGCCACATAAGGTGGTATAGAAATGTGGTATAAAAATATGATATGAATAGCATTACTGTAACATCTCACATCGACCAACGGAGCGAGGGTGATGTGCCTTATATGTACATGCCCACCTCCATATAGCACAAGGCCTTTTGGGAGCTCATTGGCTTTGAGTTCCATCGGAACTCTGAAGTTAACGAGTTCGAGTGAGAGCAATCCCATGATGGGTGACCCACTGGGAAGTTTTCGCCTGAGTTCTTAGAAACAAAACTGCGAGGGCGTGGTCGGGGCCTAAAGCGGACAATATCGTGCTACTGCAGAGCCGGTATGGGATATGACATAATAGTATCAAAGCCATTATGTCGTTCAGTGCGAGTGTGCTGACGAGGACGTTGGTCCCCTGAGGGGGGTGGATTGTAACATTCCACATCGACCAACAGAGAGGGTGTGATGTACCTTATATGTACATGCCCACTTTTATATAGCACGAGACCTTTTGGGAGCTTCATTGGAACTTCGAAGTTAAGCGAGTTCTGGCAAGAGCAATCTCAGGATGGGTGACCCACTGGGAAGTTCTCGTGTGAGTTCTCAGAAACAAAATTGTGAGGGTGATGTGTCTTATATGTACATACTCACCTCCATATAGCATGAGGCGTTGTGGGAACTCA